AGGCATACCAAGTAATAGAAAGAAGCAAGAAAACAGACATTAGAAACGGAACCAGAGGTGACACCAGGGACTTCAGGATTAATGCGTCCCAGAAAACAGACTGCAAGATGAAGAGTCTCACCAGAAAACTGACATATATTAGAAATGATCAAATTAAAATTTTAGAAATGAAATATAGAACCTTCTGCAGGAGAAATGCAAAGAAAACCACAACAAGGTATTTGGGAGCACCATGGTGCTTCAGCTGTCACCTTCCTGAGCTGAGATGCCTCCAACAGAGTTCCACAAAGCAACAGGTCATCGTCCATTAACAACCAAAAGGAATTTACCTTCCACAGGCCTTCATTAGGACTTAGTGGCCTGATTTCACTTCCTCAAGTTTTAGCCACAAGTGGAATGGAGCAGAGATGAGGCTGGGAGCCCTCACGTGTTCTCTTGTTATTTCTCTCGCTGCGGGTCATTTCTTACATTTGAAACGTGTAGGTTATTTATCATACAATGGACCATATTCTCGTGATGTTGGACCTGTCGCGTTGTTACAGTCACGTCACACTGGCTCAGCACAAGCTTTAGATTTCCTCGGATGAATTAGTATCAGTACTTTCCTCAATGAAGGGAAAAAGGCCATCTCACAAGGCTGCCTGCTATATAATTTGAAGTATATGACACTTTGGAAGAAGCAAAACTATGGAAACAAGAAAAATATCAGTGGTTGCCAGCATTTAGGGAGAGTAAGGGATAAACAGGTGCAGCACAACAGAGGATTTCTGGGGCAGTGGCACTACTCTGTAAGATACTATAGTGGGACGTTCATGGCATCAGGCATTTGTCCAAATCCATAAAATAAACACCACCAAGAGTGAATCCTAATGTAAACCACAGGTTTTGAATGATAATGATGGATTAAGGTACATTCATTCATTGTAACAAATACAAAACACTAATGCAAGATGTTAATAATAATGTGGGGTGTGTGTGTGTGTATAGAGGAAAATGTACAGGGGAACTGTGTACTTTCTGCTCAATTTTCATGTAAACCTAAAAATGTTCAAAAAGTAAGATGTATTAAAATTTAATTCTTTAAAAAAAAACAAAAAAACAAAAAAGCAATCCTAACACTAGACTCTCACTGAGCCCCGTATGTCTCGAGTTCCCTATTAAAGCTGGGGTCCTACAGGTATGTGCAGCTGCTGTGCATCCACACTGACGATGAAACGAAGCCTGGGCTTTGCTGCCGAGCGGGTCACACTCAGAACCTCGCTCTGAGCTCTCCTCCACAAGCTTCTGCTTACTGGACACAAACAAGCAGAAAGGTCAATATCTTCTCCATTATGGTCCGGTGAAGATTAAAGAATCTGGGGTCAACAGCACAGAGTAAGTGTCAGAACATTGATTTTCTCCTTTGCTTTCCTGAAAGGCTGCTTGAAGTGGATAGTCTCAAAAATAAACTTCCAAGCTCCTGTGCGTGCAGCTTTCCTGGCGTGGAGACAAACCACGCACATGTTCTACGATGAAAGGTACACGCCCAGGCGGGCTGCAGGGACAAAGCGTCCTGTGAACCAGCACTCCCCTGGTCCCATTTCTCATCTGGATAACTAGAAAGAGCATAAACCGCACCGGGATAAACAAGACAAAGGTAATCTACTAAACTATAGATTGAGATGCAATTCATTTCCACTCAGCAGAAGAAATATCTGAACCCGAATCTTCAGGATTAATCATGTCAATAAAAAGCAGAAAGTGTGGGAGAAGGAGGAGGAGGAAGGGGAGGGAGAAGATGAAAAGCGGTTGCTCCCTGTGTCTTTGATTGTTAAGCGACTAGTTGGACAAGAAGCCATCATTGGACCAGGCTGTACCTTTATGGTCAAACCCGCGACACGAATTTCTTTCCTCCAACCCCGGCTGCATCTCTGAACGGTGCTTTTTCCTGTCGTGCATGCTTTAACTTGACTGTTTCAGTCTTTCTTATACTCTTGTTTATTGTTAACTCAATCCCCAATACCCACCTACACAGTCAGTTCTCAACTTTTACACTGCTGTGATCTTTCCCAAGATCCGTGTTTCACTTTTCAGCCCTTTGCTCCTGTTAAAGCTGTGTTGTTTGGTTTCACAGACATCGCGTTCCGCAATGTGAGATGCCGTCATCATTCCGGCGTCCCAGCAGAGTTCCCAGCGCAAAGGTAAGAAACACCCACTCTTCCAGAAGTGGCCCGGAGGCCCCTGCCTCCTGAGGGCTCTGCAACTTCCCTCAGGCCAGCCAGACCCTGCCAGCTCCAGGCTGCTCAGCAGGGAACGTCCCTTCACTGTGGCACTCAGCTCACCCCCAGACTCGCCCTCCCAAAGCAGGCCTGGGTTCACACGTGTCTGGCCTTCGAGCAGCACGGTGCCCCACATTTGTTAGATGGCAAATGTCTGTGAACGAACAGACACAGAGCAACTCACCAAAGGAGAACATGGGAATTAAATATGTGTGTGTGTGCATGTGCATGCATGTGTCCGTGTGCACGTGTGTATGTCTGGGTGTCTGGGTGTGGGTGCATGCATGTGTTCGTGTGCACGTGTGTGCATGCGTGTGCATGCATGTGTCCATGCACATGTGTGTGTGGGTGTGTATGTGTATGTGTGCATGTGTGTGTCCATGCACGCATGCGTGTGGGTGTCTGTGTGCATGTGCGTCTGTGCACACGCGTTTGTGTGCATGTCTGTGTGTGTGCATGCGTCCGTGTGTGTGTATGTGTCTGTGTGTGTGCGTGTGTGCGTGCGCATTTTAAACAAATCCTCGCCCTCCCTCTATGCTTTGCGGAGCTGAGGTAGGCTAGTAGTGCCTTGTGTCTTCCTCAGGAAATCAGAGTCTGGAATGGCCTAGAAATGACATCCCTGCTGAGCGCTGACTGCAGAGGAAAGCTCCTGCCGGCCTTCGGCTTTCCCAGGGCTGCAGCCTCAGCCCCTTCCTATTTGCAGAGCAGGAGGCAGCCACATTTGCTCTCCACCCCTTCAGTCGGGAACAGAGCCATGCTAGAAAGAAAACCAACTGGACCAAATGAAGTTTCAAACTATTCACGGCAAGTTTTAAAAACGAGAGCGTGAATAGAGAGAAGCTTTCGACTCCACTTCCTGCCACAGCTCAGCCTCGCATGAGCAGAAGGCAGGTGCAGGCGTGCTCTTCTCTGGGGCCCAGGGCTTCCGATGCCCCGGGCCATTCTGAGATCGTTTCTAACCCCACAGGGAAGGATCAGAGTTCATGATTTCAAGTCCCTAAAGTGAGTTCTGCATCATGATACAGTTTTTGTTTTCTTAAGGGAGAGAAGCATCTGACTAGCGATCTTATTGTATTTGAACTAATCTCACAAAATACGACCTGCCCGGATCTCAGATGGGAAAAGGTTTGCACGGTTTCCTAACACAAGCATCTGCTTTGGAAGCAGCGGAGGGTGAGGTCCGACTCTCACCTGCAGTTCAGGGCCTGGGGCACAGCTGCCCCGATCTGGGCATGCCTTCACACATCCCTCCCCCGCCCCGGCCGTGTGATGCGCTCTGTCCTGTCTTACCAAGGACCTTTCATCTTTACCTCACCCAGCAAACTCCTGCATATCTGTCAAGTTTCAGATGAAGAGGACCTCACTGGAAAAGTCCTCCCACGCCTGCAGCTGGACCCCGTCACCCCAAAGGAGACCACCACTCACTCAGCCTCCTCCTTCAGAGCCTGTAATTTACACATGAAAATTTCCGTCGATTCCAATAACACAGCTTTAACACTAGGCACATAGTAAATTCTAAAGTTGTACGCCTGCATGAAAATCCCTCTACATGCAATGCAATCAACTATTCCTGAAATAACCATGTATCCAAGAAGGCATTTCTCTGAGGGTTAGACATAAATACATGTTAGACATAAAGGTGCTGAATAAAGGTTGCGGAACAAATGCAAGAAAATAAAACTCCAGAACAGGAATACCTAAGAAGGGGTTACTCCGTGCAGTCAACTGAATAACGACGTATCAGGAAAAGGGAACATTACATTCACAACTTGATTTTGATCCACAGCCATCTGCAGCACATAGGTTGTGTGAAGTAACTGTCCTTTATTCATTCCACTTCTTTGCTCCACTTTAGGGACATTATGGAGATTTTTTAAGTGAATCACCCATAAATATAACTTTACCCCTGCATGAAACCCTTATATCACCAGAGAAAAGATACTTTTTAAATCTGGCAATGAAAAGAAATGATTTTGCTACTAATTTTGGAGGGGTTATTTCCATGCACAGAACACTGCAATGAAAAGAAGGCATTGAAGTCAGCATTCTGGCAATTCCCCTCCCTCAGCCTCACATGTCTCCCCAGATTCGGAGCAAATGTGCAGCAGGGAGCCCAGGCAGGACCCCACAGGCAGGAGGGAGATCCTGGCCTCACTGGGGGCTGCATTTGCAGGGTCTACTCGGGGATGCTAGGTACCCCTGGGAACCCCTGCTGGCAGGCGACCCGTGGCCTGCAGCCCACCACAGAAGGGGCTCCCCTGGCGGATTCCAATACCCCAACACACACGTGCTCATAGCAGGCACTTCTGCCCAGGGAAAGGCTTCCTTCACATCCAGTCGTTCTTGAGCTTAATTGGCTGATAAGCCTGTGGGAATATCCTACTCGGGCAAGCACAGATTTGATCCCATACTAAAAAGTGAAGGCAGTTTATTTACCCTCAACGTCCGAACTGAAGACAGACGTATCACGTGCGTGATCGCAAACCCTGTCCTGAGAAACACTATCCAAGGCAGGCCTCTTGGATGCTGAAAGAAGAAACTGAACGTGAGCACGTTGCTACGATTTCTTCATTTTCTTGGTTTTTTTTTTTTATCATTTTCAAATATTCCAATAAATGCTACAGATTTAAGAAGTCTGTGAGTTTTAAACCTGCACAATAAATCTCAAACAGAAATCCACAATGAGAAGGCAGCAAAAGAGATGCAACAGCCATCAGATCCGAAAAGAAAGAAGCCTCTTACCATGTTTATTGACGACACCGGACCGATGCTGTTGACGTAAATGTCGACGTCAATGACGGTGGGTTTTACTGTGGAGAGAAATACATGTATGTTAACACCTGGTGCTGGAGAAAGACGACGAGAGCATATTCAAGTCCTAACACCTCATGTAAAATAGGAGGCTAAAACAGAAGGCTAAGCACTGCCATCTTATAAAGAAGCCGCCTGGGCCCTGGGCAGAGAAAATTCTGGGTACTGTTATTGTACTACAGTTCTCAGAGGTGTTAAGGGTAAAAATTTCCGCTGCTACCCCCGTCCCCTTGCCTCTAACCGCAAACTTTAGCTTCTGTACAAACAGCCTGCCTTACTCTCTCCCCGCTACCCCCAATCAAGGATGTAGTTTTACAACTTAAATGCCTTACTCCCCCTGAGCTCAAGGCCACGAGTTAGAAAAACTTAAGTCCTCCGTGGCCGCCGGCAATAAAAACCCTGCAATTAGCATACTTTTGTCTTAGTGTGAATTTTCTGCTCGTTCCAGTGCCACACATGCACAGCATGACAAGGACGTGTTGGAAACACACATGCACAGGTCTTTCTGTGGGACTCACGCCTGCCTTTCTTTTCAAAATCCTCAAAGGATGAGCAACTCTTACCTGTATCTATTCAGTTCTAGGAAAATAGCATATTGGTAGGCTGCACGTCACCAGTCAGAGGAGACTAGAAAGAGACGTCGTAACGTGACTTAAGCTGATTTTATGGCAAATATAGGAGGTAAAATGTGAGCTACTGCATCAGTAATTTAATGCCAAAGTTTTGCTATAAAGCCCAATACAAGAGATGAGCACTGTCAGTGATGTTCTTGAATTCTCTGTCCCTCACACAGCTGTCTAGCTATCAAAGTAACGCGGGACAAAGTTCTGGTGAGTCTGTACACCAATAACAAATGAGAAACATTGTTTATTGTTATCAGTATGACTTAAAGATACATAAACATACATACATCAGAGTTTCAATCCAACTCGAGACACAATGGGATGCTAATAAGTCAAAGAATTATCGTTTCAACTACGAGGGCGTAACATCCATATAATCGCAGGCTGCTCTCGCTAACGCCGTATGTCAGAGGCCACCCTGGCTCCTTTGGCTGTAAGAGAAACCAGTTTCTCTTTTGAAGGCAGCAAAGGATCTGAGCAAGCCTGATCGTGACATGGCTGAGCCCGCAGGCCTGAGTCAGGGGCTGACGTCCTCTGAAAGGAGGACATTCCCTTCACCCTGCACTCAGTGACTAAAGAGGGGACAGAGCCAATTCCGGAATATTTCTGCCCGGGAGGACTATGAACAACTCCTGAACCTTCCCCCATGGAACAGACTGTTTCTATGGAAACAAGAGTGTAGTATGTGCAGTGACCTCAGTGTGCTTCCTTCCGCTGTGCTGAAGAACCGAACATGCACGAATGGAATTCCACGCGCTGCTTGTGGAACAAGGAACAGCACCTCCGAGTGCTCGGTGTCCTACAAACCTGCACATCCACCGGTCTGTGCCCTGGGCAGTGGTCCCCAGAGCGTCCCGTAATGCAACGATGATAACAAATTTGAGCCAACTCCCCCGATGTCCGTCAGCACCGCCAAGTCCCATGAGCTGCTAGAGCTGCTGGCATTTTGGAAAATGCCCCAACCCAGTTCCCTGCACTATCTGTGTCATAAAAGGGATATTCGCCATTGTAGACTAAGCTTTGCTAACTACTATGGAAACTAAGTAGCGTCTTTCTTCAAATTATTGGATTCAACAAGTGTTCCATTTCTAAACACTGCAGAAGCTTTGATTATGTCACACCGAAGGGTGTGAAGTCAGTCAGTGAAGGACCTACTTTTAGTGAGCGATTTTTCTGGTTGTTTCATGCAGCTTATTAGACTTGGAGCTTCCAGAGCTTTTTACATCATTAAATTAAAAGACCAACAGACATAAAGCCTTCACAGCTTGCAGTCAGCAGCGGCAAGGGCGACAGGAAGGAAGGGTCTAAGAGAGAAGTTGGGAGTAAGTGTGCGCGCGCACACACACACACACACACACACTTGCAAAATGCCAGGGAAAACGAGGAGCTTTTAGCAGATGCTTTTTTTTTTTTTTTTGAAAGAGAGTCTTGCTCTGTCTCTGGAGTGCAATCTCAGCTCACTGCAACTTCCGCCTCCCAGGTTTAAGCAGTTTTCCTACCTCAGCCTCCCAAGTAGCTGGGATTACAGGCTCCCGCCACCATGCCCAGCTAATTTTGTGTTTTCAGTAGAGACGGGGTTTCAGCGCGTTAGCCAGGCTGGTCTCGAACTCCTGACCTCAAGTGATCCACCCACCTCGGCCTCCCAAACTCCTGGGACTGCAGGCGTGAGCCACCGTGCCCAGCCAATAGGCGTTCTTTTAAGCAGAGTCACGCTAACACAAATGAAGCAATAGAAAAGGGCCTCTGACGAGAGAAGCCCGGACCGAGACCGGCCACCAGCAGCTCAAGGTTTATAACTCAGAGACTCAAGACCGAGCTCTGACAAACGACCTTCCTCAAAGTTGCCAAGACCATTCAACAAGGAATGGACGGTCTTTTCAACAAACGGTGCTGGGGAAACTGGATATCCACAGACAAAGGAATGAAGTCGGACCCTTACCTTCTGCCATATACAAAAATGAACTCAAAATGAATTTGGGACCTTGAGGTAAGGCCTGAAAACAAAAAACCACCAGAAGAAAACGGGGGGGAAATCTTCTCTACATTGGATTTAAAAACAATCTCTTGGATATAACACCAAAAGCTCAGGCAACAAAAGAAAAATAAATGGATTTGATTATAACAAAAATTTAAACCTTCTGTGCATATAGGGCACAACAGAGTAAAAAGGCAGCCCAACGAGTGAGAGAATATTTACAAATCATGTCTCTGATAAACGGATAATATCCAGAATACATAAAGAACGTCTACAGCTCAACAACAAACTAACCTGATTTAATTGGCCAAAAACCTAGACAGACATTTGCACAGGAAGATACACAAACGGACAACAAGCACATGAAAACATCATTAGTTATTTGGGAACCGCAAATGAAAACCACAAAACAGTACTGTACACCCACTCAGATGGCTGTCACTAAAAACAAACGAACGACAGTACCAGTGACGGAAGATAACAAGTCCCAGCTCGGATACGAAGAAATTAAATCCTCGTGCACTGTCTGTGGGAAGAAAAACGACATAGCCACCATGGGAAACGCTGGAGCGCTTCCTCAAACACTAAAAGCACCATTACCATATGACCCGCGAACTCCACTTCTTGCTGTACACCCACAGGCAATAAAAGGAGGAATGAAACAGATATCTGAACAGCTGTGCTACAAATATTATTCATTAGCCAAAAGGTAGAAACAGGTGCTCATCAACAGATTGTGCCTTAAAGAAGAAGGACATTGTGATGCGTGCCACAGCATGGATATACCTGGAGGACATTACGCTAAGTGAAATAAGAGAGTCACAAGCAAGCAAATACTAGGATTCCACTTTGATGAGGCTCCTATGGTGGTCAGATTCACAGAGACAGACAGTGCAATGCTGGTTTCCAGGCACTAGAGAAGGGGAAATGGGAGCTGTTTGATGGGTAGAGTTTCAGGTCTGCAAGATGCAGAGTCCTGGGATGGATGGTCGTGGTGATTACACAGCAGTGTGAACAGACCGACTGCCACTCAACTGTAGCAATAGTTAAGAAGGCACATTTTGTGTAATGTGTATTTTACTACAATCTAACGAACCCTAAAGTAGCCCAGAGAAGGATGGGCATATGAAGGTAGAAAAGCCAGAAACGGGGTGCTGGGGAGCAATCTTCCGAGTGAAGAAAGCAGATTCAGTATTTAAAGGTATAAAATACAGATAATGACACTGAGCGCCATACATTTCAAATGCATTCTTCCTTTTAATTCTACCTTATGTGGTTGCTCTTACGTCCTAAGAATTCAGAATCGGTACGTCTGAGGAGAATCATAAACTCGTAAGTTGTGCAACCGAAGTGAACCTTGCAAAGACACACTGGCTACAGCTCTACAAGCATCAGCCATCCGCTCCGCGGACGGATTTAGGTGGCCCTAAGGGGAGCACACGGGCTGCCTTTTCTCTTTGCCTCTGTGGCAGAACCACAGCGGACCCATGCTTGCCTGAAGCACGGGACTCTCCACGGTCATCTTCATCCTGGAAGAAGGCGGTGAGGGCCGTTTGAACGATCATGCTGAGCCGCGGAGACAGCCCCAGTGGGAAGGGGGACCTGGCGGCAGGCTTGCTGGGGAAGGAACGCAGGGCTGGGCCCGTCTGTCTGTGGATGGACCTAGAGGCACGTGCCAAAAACTAGGGGTGAGCAGATGCTTTGTCTTGCTTATCGAGGACATTAAAGGAATCCTGTCATGGTGAAAAAGGAATAAACAGGAAGTTCCCCAGCATCAATTCCTTTGGGACTTGACATCTAAAAATCACATTTAATGTAGGACCAGATGCCTGCTAAACTCACCTCAGCCCCTCTCCTGACGGTCTTCGTGCAATAATAAATGTCTCCTTTTGCTAACTTAGATGGTTCCCTATCTGGCCCTGGGCCCCCTGAAGTGGGCACAGATGCTATTCAACAGGTGGGTTAATCAGTAAGTTGTGTCCTTCTAAAATGGGGTTAATCCCCGGAATCGTTCATAACAAGACTCGAAGAAGGCTGGTCTGATTCTAGACGTTCTCAGAACCTTTTCAGGGCGAAATGGCAAGCGGATTGAGCTGCCTTCTCAAAACCCCCAGAAGTTTCTCTCTAAAGCCAGACTTACGACAGCATCATTTACTTTAGAAAAACTGAGGAGACGGGAAAAAAAGGCAGAAAAAAGACAGACAGAGAAGTTGTGCCTGGCTCAGCATGGGTTCACGGGCCATGGGTTCTGCAGTCACCCCCCAGGGGAATCTGGTGGGGCAGAAAGCCAGCCCAGCAGGCGTGGACCCCCGGATTTACACGCGACCCCGGGGGCACGGAAGGGGCAGGCACCCAGGTCTACAGGGCCCGTCGTCATAGTCACTTAGGTCTTTTTGAGTTG